CCCGTACAGTTTTTTTTTTTTTTCACAAACTTTTATAAAAAAAACGAAAATTTAAACATTTTAATTATTAAAATAAAAGATAATCATTGATTTTCTGATCACAAGGTAGTATTTTCACATTCTGTATCGAAGTCATCACCGAGTTTTTTTGATTCTAAATTTCTCCGCACAAGTCCCCAAAATGACGTTGGTTTTAATTTTTTGTCTTTTATGACAGTAAACAACCAACCCATGTGGATTGAGCAAAATTTACATTCTACGATTGTCCATGCATACCTGTAATAGTTTTAACACGATTTTGAGTGACAATATATATGTAATATATAAGTAATATGCCATTTTCCACGGAAATGAATCTAGAGTAACAATTACCCGGGAAACCAACTATAATCTGGCGAGGGTCTGTCATCATGCTTTTTAAGGTTTTTGGCATGATAAAGAGTCACAGTGTCATGAGTGTAACCACCTGCATTACAAAATGTGTTTTGTGGACCATCTTGACTCATTGGAAATATATCTGCATGTTTTCCTATCACATTTTCACAATTGTGGCAGACAAGTACACGATCCTTCAAGTTAAATGATTTATTCTGTAATGCAACCCCAAAATAGTGACAGTTATAGTACAAAAATTCCTGCTTACTTTTGTCAAATAATCCAATTCCCATTGTAATCTTGAAACAGCGCAATCGTATGTTAATAATTTGATTCTCTCTGCATCACTTAATGGTAAGTTTTGTGCAACCCAAAAAGACAAGTCTGTTGGATTCATGGGTATAAAACTGCCCCCTGAAATTATTAAGATAAACAAAGTAAATAAAAGAAAAAATGCACTTTATAAATTTATTAAAAAGAGTCTGAAATAACTATACTGATTTCAATAAACTGAAGCTGTTGCTTAATAGCATATGAGAGCCTATGTGAATCATACTGCCTATAAACAAATGCTGGCCAAGAAGTGTTCATGGATTCAAATACTTCTAAATGATCTTGTTGTTTCTGTTCTTTGCCATTAATAGATCTTAAGCTGAGATGGTCCATAGATCTTAATCCACCAAAAAGTGGATGGGAAAGTGTTATTTCTGGCATTATTTTGACATCTGCCAATGTTCTATTTGCTCCCTAAAAGTGAAACAGCATAGTAAATACAAATTCAAATTCTCAAGAAATGATGATGCTATATAAATAAAACTATGCATATTTATACTTCTTTGAACTGTAGAATCTTAAAACGTTGCCTGCCTTTTGCTTTTATGCGTAATCCTTCTCCAGGACTGCTACCATGTGAAAATTCATAAATCTCTGCAGTTGTGCCAATATTTTCAATCTTATTTTCGTGATAACACAGAACACCAAAAGTACGATTATCTTGAATACACTTTTCTAACATAGTAATGATATTTATGTTAAATACTGCTAATGGCAACGTTTGACCAGGAAATAATATCATAGAATCTTTTATTAGCAATGGTAAGTTTAAGTAAATTCCTTCATCTAGGATCGTTCTGCCTCTCAACTCTTCCAGATTGGTTCCCAAATACTTAACAATGAGATTTTTGTTAGATAAATAAGTAGCTCATACTTTTGTATTTTTGGCAAATAAATATGTCACTGATTTGAATTTACTAATATAACTTACAGAATGGGATACTGGTAATGATAAATCGAAATCCTGAGGAGCTTGCTCTGAAGTAAATTTTTCATTTTCGTCATCTGTAGTACTATCATTGCTCTGATGAGAAGAGTTGTCAAACGTTAGTACTTGATTATCTGCGATTGCTGCTGCACCTGTACAGGGCACAACAGTCATTAAAATTACAGATTATTCGTTGATAATTAAAAAAAAAAAACGATGACAAAAAGTAANAATCCTGAGGAGCTTGCTCTGAAGTAAATTTTTCATTTTCGTCATCTGTAGTACTATCATTGCTCTGATGAGAAGAGTTGTCAAACGTTAGTACTTGATTATCTGCGATTGCTGCTGCACCTGTACAGGGCACAACAGTCATTAAAATTACAGATTATTCAATATCTTTATTAGTTGTAAAAATTGTAAAATTCTTTAAATATAACTAAAATTGTTCAACTTTAAAAATAAGTCATTTAAATTATTGATTTTTAAAATCAACGCCAGTCTGTAAGCGTGTGAGCTTCGAACTATTTCATGAAGGAAAAATAATTAGTTTTGGAAGGGGGAGAAACTAAAACTGTAAGTTGATTTCATTACATTAATGTTTATTGGTTTTGATGTGGATGTGTTACCAGAGTTTGAATGCTACCAACAGTAATGAACTACAGAAGTGGAAAAAAAGGTATTGAACATCATTGGTGTATGCATAAGACTAAAAATTAAACTTCAAATTTATGTACATGAAGTACATAAGCTTTCAGTTGTATCAAACAGATATAATAATCAGTTTGACAGCTGTCGAGCACACTTGTAAAAAGCTAATTCTAAAAATGTTGTAACTAGTGATTATTTTCGCAAGTTGCAACTCTAATGACGTGAGATGTAAGCAAGTGAATAATTAGACGAGATTTGGAAAATTTAGACGATTGCATGGATTATATTATTTTTGTGCAGTGGTCAATCAAGTCTAAAAATTTGACGAATACTTTGAGGAAGTACAAGAATATAGAAAAACGTTAATATTTCAGTACATACGGAATATTATTGAGATGAGGGATAGTCGGAAAAATATATCTATATACATACAAAATAAGAAAAAAAGAACCTTTGAGTATTCTATCACTTATTTCAACGTACTTTTTATCACCACAATAAATCCTATAAGTGCTATAAGATGTTTGATGAGTTGATATATAATTTTCTGTGATAACTGCAGAATACTATTAGAAAAATTTATTTTGGAAATATTCATTACGAACTGTTTTACTAATATTAAGCTATTAGAAAATCAATATAGTAGTTTATTTTGCTTAAGAATTAGTGACTGAATCAAAGCAAAGTATTATTTAAAATCGGAATATTAAAATAATTTTTTAACCTTTTTAAAATGGAATGTTTCAGTTACTGTATTGTATGTACCGACTGTTGGTAACAGTTTACACAATTTCAAATTTTTGTGATTTATATACGATGTATACTTTAAAAGATTGGTGCGATATAAGTACTCAACAACAACAGCAGCAGCAACAGCAACAGCAACAGCAACAGCAACAGCAACAGCAACAGACACAACAACAGCAATTCCATCACCAGGCGCTTTATCAGAAAGCAAGCTGGAACAACTTTGGTTCAGTTTCGGATTTGAATCCCATTGATCCGGCCATCGTGAGTTCCCGGCTTCTTCCATTCCAGAATGCTACGACTAGCAACACATGGCAGTTTTCTCATGGGCACTCTTCACACAGTGTGGCTCATAGTAATCAACAGGTATTGAAATAGTAAATTAAATTAATGAGCAAAAAATACTTTCATGTGAAATTATTAGGTTTCAATTTTCAGCATATAATTTTTATTAGTTCCATGAATGTATCAATAATAATAACTCACAGCACTGCTGTATACATAAATAGTATAGAGATCAAAAAAATTGCTTTTGCAGGAACAAAACACCAGTCCCGCTCAGCACTGGGCAATGCAACCACCACCCGGCTTTGCTGCCTCAACATCAAGCGTTCCTCTGAATGTCCAGCAGACGACGACAGCTGTTCAAGCGCACACAAAGTTCATCTCAGTGGGATCAGAAATCGAGAGTAAGATACATATTTTAATTAGTATACATTTTTAGAATTGGACAATTAATGAGCAAGTATCTATTGATTCATAAAAAAATGCATTTTTACAAACAGGATAGCCGTTTTCTATGTCAGCATATTATGAAACATTCACCTTAATGCTAATACACACATGCACACACATAAACGACATACGAGCTTATTTTATCATATGAGCATGCTTTATATTCACAATACGTCTTATCTGAATTTTGACGGATGGATAGCTTTTAGTAAAAATATAATTTGTATCAACTCGGGATGTTAGTTTAATGATTGAAGTATTATATTTATGGTGTAGGTAAAATGTCTTCTTGTGACATGCAGTGAATATAGTGGCAATAACGTTGGCTAATACTGTAGGATAGTGCTTTAGTATTACCGAAGACAAGGTCAAGGAAAAGGAGAGGAGCAATGTGATTAAATTTTTATTGCCAATCTCCTTGTAGGCTTCCTTAGCTTGAGATAAAATATTTTAAGTTTTTCTAGATGTCAAACATAATATTAATAATGTATAAGTACTAAATTCGTGAGTAAATTATTTTAATATATATAAATTTTATTTCTAAATTTTGTTGCTATGTTAGTTCTTTTTACCTGGGCTGAACGAAGGTAAGTTCTTATTACGTCAGTACTTAGTAGTCTACTTACTAAAGTGTTATATTTTGTTGAAAGTTGATTTCATGTATATTTTTTTTTTTCCTTCAGATCTTTGATATTGTTACTACAAGGTTTTTTCGAAGGTCTGGCTTAAGAGTTTTTGATGACTTCATAGAGAGAACCTTTTCAATTATGAAGAACGCGAGGTCTTGTTTCGAGAGGAATATTAACGGTTAATGCGAGAAATATCATCTAGTAAAGTTGATGTGTATTGTTCAAGGTTGTTATTTAACAATTTCATTATTTACTTTCCAACCTGTCCTGTTTCCTATATTGATGGACAGTATGGGTGGCAATCCTTTTATATTGGTGAATAACACCGTTCTTAGTTTCAATTGGATAAATTAGAATTTAAATACAAAAAAAAAAAAATTTTAGGACATTTTATGGAATTTGCNTTTAATTATTAAAATAAAAGATAATCATTGATTTTCTGATCACAAGGTAGTATTTTCACATTCTGTATCGAAGTCATCACCGAGTTTTTTTGATTCTAAATTTCTCCGCACAAGTCCCCAAAATGACGTTGGTTTTAATTTTTTGTCTTTTATGACAGTAAACAACCAACCCATGTGGATTGAGCAAAATTTACATTCTACGATTGTCCATGCATACCTGTAATAGTTTTAACACGATTTTGAGTGACAATATATATGTAATATATAAGTAATATGCCATTTTCCACGGAAATGAATCTAGAGTAACAATTACCCGGGAAACCAACTATAATCTGGCGAGGGTCTGTCATCATGCTTTTTAAGGTTTTTGGCATGATAAAGAGTCACAGTGTCATGAGTGTAACCACCTGCATTACAAAATGTGTTTTGTGGACCATCTTGACTCATTGGAAATATATCTGCATGTTTTCCTATCACATTTTCACAATTGTGGCAGACAAGTACACGATCCTTCAAGTTAAATGATTTATTCTGTAATGCAACCCCAAAATAGTGACAGTTATAGTACAAAAATTCCTGCTTACTTTTGTCAAATAATCCAATTCCCATTGTAATCTTGAAACAGCGCAATCGTATGTTAATAATTTGATTCTCTCTGCATCACTTAATGGTAAGTTTTGTGCAACCCAAAAAGACAAGTCTGTTGGATTCATGGGTATAAAACTGCCCCCTGAAATTATTAAGATAAACAAAGTAAATAAAAGAAAAAATGCACTTTATAAATTTATTAAAAAGAGTCTGAAATAACTATACTGATTTCAATAAACTGAAGCTGTTGCTTAATAGCATATGAGAGCCTATGTGAATCATACTGCCTATAAACAAATGCTGGCCAAGAAGTGTTCATGGATTCAAATACTTCTAAATGATCTTGTTGTTTCTGTTCTTTGCCATTAATAGATCTTAAGCTGAGATGGTCCATAGATCTTAATCCACCAAAAAGTGGATGGGAAAGTGTTATTTCTGGCATTATTTTGACATCTGCCAATGTTCTATTTGCTCCCTAAAAGTGAAACAGCATAGTAAATACAAATTCAAATTCTCAAGAAATGATGATGCTATATAAATAAAACTATGCATATTTATACTTCTTTGAACTGTAGAATCTTAAAACGTTGCCTGCCTTTTGCTTTTATGCGTAATCCTTCTCCAGGACTGCTACCATGTGAAAATTCATAAATCTCTGCAGTTGTGCCAATATTTTCAATCTTATTTTCGTGATAACACAGAACACCAAAAGTACGATTATCTTGAATACACTTTTCTAACATAGTAATGATATTTATGTTAAATACTGCTAATGGCAACGTTTGACCAGGAAATAATATCATAGAATCTTTTATTAGCAATGGTAAGTTTAAGTAAATTCCTTCATCTAGGATCGTTCTGCCTCTCAACTCTTCCAGATTGGTTCCCAAATACTTAACAATGAGATTTTTGTTAGATAAATAAGTAGCTCATACTTTTGTATTTTTGGCAAATAAATATGTCACTGATTTGAATTTACTAATATAACTTACAGAATGGGATACTGGTAATGATAAATCGAAATCCTGAGGAGCTTGCTCTGAAGTAAATTTTTCATTTTCGTCATCTGTAGTACTATCATTGCTCTGATGAGAAGAGTTGTCAAACGTTAGTACTTGATTATCTGCGATTGCTGCTGCACCTGTACAGGGCACAACAGTCATTAAAATTACAGATTATTCGTTGATAATTAAAAAAAAAAAACGATGACAAAAAGTAAACTATAATTATTATATAGTTTCAAATCTATTCGTTATTCTTAACCTGAAATGAATGAAAGGTAAGAAATGCCGAATTCGGTGAAAATCAGTAGCAACAAAAGGAGTACCTGAATCACTACTTCCTTGCGATGAATTCCTTGACTCTGTGTCGCTGTCATTGTTGATATCCATGTTGGCATACCTATTTGCATCTCACAACACAGAATAGAGAGCTCCAGACATTTTACTTCAGTAAATCGATGATTACTTTTCTTTCTTTAAAACTGCGTACCGTTACTAGTAATTATACAAATAAACATGAAAATTAACAAAACGTCCAACTTAAGTGACACGCTACCCTAGGAATTACGTCTTTACAAGTTGGGATAAAATTTTAACACCACTAAGTATGGTAAGTAGGTTGAATCACAAATGGAACTGTTGAATTAACAGTGACCAAGTGTGATGTTAAGACAAGTAAAGAGTCGAGTTGAGATTGTTGGGCGTATATTATTCACAACCATATAAAATAAAAATAGGTATAAAAACACAACGTATATAGTACGTAATACGTACGTGCAATTACAGGGTGTATTATATATACCTACTTGTTCGGCTTAGCGATCCATCAGAGCATTCCGGATATTCCGGATTTTTCAGAGCCAAACACCTGTCCTATAATAGCGCACACCCGAGACCCGAGTGATGAACTGACGAGTAACTCCTACAGTCGGTATATCTATATATTTACTGTCTTGGCCACTTAAAAAATTGAGAACACACCACTAAATTTTCCAGATTGGTGAATACTGCAAAAATGCTCATACGTAAACTGGAAAAAAAATTAATTGTAAATAAACTATAAACAATAAAAGTTCACTTTTACTGCACTGCAGTTTATTTTTACCTGAATCTAACTAATTGAAAAATATCAGGAGGATCGTTATAATTAAAAAAACACCTGTCAAAAATTATATACATGTATCACATAAGTTACATACAATAAATCGTGGAAAAAAGAGTCTCAAATCTCTCAACTCTTGGTAAATTTTTTCGGTACTTATAAAAGTTTGGATTAAAGTATATCACTACTACCTACACCAAATCCACACTTGAATTGTACATTTAAAATAAAGACAATAGATAAGATTTAATAGAGTAGGCGATTGAAAATGAGAGCTAAAAAAATAGTATAACTATCATGAAAATTGATGAATGTCATGTATTTATTTATATACCATACAAAAAAGTTAAGTTTTATTTTTGACATAAATAAAAGGCTGTACTGTGTGAACGTTAACAAATTTTTGTTATTTGATCTCAACGAATAATGATGAAACTTTTGTAGTAGCGTGATCATCCTACGCTATCGTATTTATTGTACGCTATAAAATTGTTATTTTCCTCCATGTGTTACGGTAGATATCCGATTTTTTTTTTTTTATTTATCTATGTTGCAGCTGGGTAGGTAAAACATGTATGTAAGTACATTCGACTAAAATTATACACCCAGTGTTATACAATTTCAATCAATCGCACGAGCAGAAAGTTTTTAAAAAATATCTCAATTTTACGGAAATGGCAAAATTCAAATTAAAAAAAAAAAAATTTTTTTCCAATTAAAAAAGAAATATCTACAGTTTTTACCATGTACATTTTAAAAGGGTGTGTGTGTACCTACATGTGCAAAATAAGTCAACTCATATTCGACTGTATCGATGCTTGTCGCGAGTGATTGATCAGCGCGTATACGCGCAAGTATAAGTTGGACACTTAGAAATGTGTCGAGTAAAAAATGAAAACAGATGGAAAAGCCAACGGGGGCGCGAGAAGTTAAAAAAAATACAAAATGAGAGAAGCACTTATTTAGCTATAATGTATACAGATACTATCGCGAAACATTATGTCAAAAGTCAGATAAGCAGCGCGTGTGTTGGGCGAGAGAGAGAGAGAGATCGATCGAATAAGTACACTTACAAAATATAAGTGCAACACAATATACGTAAGTTGCGGGCCATCCATCATATATATTATGCGAGTCGATGACAACAACGGCATGTGCATCGTACATGTGTGTGTGTGTGTGTTTGTTGCGGTTCGAATCTAAAATTTACGTAATAAAACTACGAGAGGGGGTTGCAACAAATGACGAATCGAATAAGAGAGGGAAATGATATGTGCACGCACACAATAACCAATAATACATATATGGGTACGGTCAAGGATACGATGCTGCGAGAGATGCCGATTTGTAATTGCGAAGAAGTACCTACTTGTATTTGGAACAATAGTCAAGTGCAGTACACCGCTAGGAGCCGGCGACCGGGACCGTTTATATATATTTTATTGCTCCGTATGATTGTACACATATACGTGAGACCTTGTGCGCGCGTGCGTTTTTACATGCACACCGGAGCCGGTAAAAGTCGCGGCTACAACTGTGCAACACAATTTTAACCAATCAATTTATTAGCCCGACCTGGTATAATACAACTAGTATAACACCTTAGCTGCTTCTTGTTTATATATATATATATACTATCATTGCTCTGATGAGAAGAGTTGTCAAACGTTAGTACTTGATTATCTGCGATTGCTGCTGCACCTGTACAGGGCACAACAGTCATTAAAATTACAGATTATTCGTTGATAATTAAAAAAAAAAAACGATGACAAAAAGTAAACTATAATTATTATATAGTTTCAAATCTATTCGTTATTCTTAACCTGAAATGAATGAAAGGTAAGAAATGCCGAATTCGGTGAAAATCAGTAGCAACAAAAGGAGTACCTGAATCACTACTTCCTTGCGATGAATTCCTTGACTCTGTGTCGCTGTCATTGTTGATATCCATGTTGGCATACCTATTTGCATCTCACAACACAGAATAGAGAGCTCCAGACATTTTACTTCAGTAAATCGATGATTACTTTTCTTTCTTTAAAACTGCGTACCGTTACTAGTAATTATACAAATAAACATGAAAATTAACAAAACGTCCAACTTAAGTGACACGCTACCCTAGGAATTACGTCTTTACAAGTTGGGATAAAATTTTAACACCACTAAGTATGGTAAGTAGGTTGAATCACAAATGGAACTGTTGAATTAACAGTGACCAAGTGTGATGTTAAGACAAGTAAAGAGTCGAGTTGAGATTGTTGGGCGTATATTATTCACAACCATATAAAATAAAAATAGGTATAAAAACACAACGTATATAGTACGTAATACGTACGTGCAATTACAGGGTGTATTATATATACCTACTTGTTCGGCTTAGCGATCCATCAGAGCATTCCGGATATTCCGGATTTTTCAGAGCCAAACACCTGTCCTATAATAGCGCACACCCGAGACCCGAGTGATGAACTGACGAGTAACTCCTACAGTCGGTATATCTATATATTTACTGTCTTGGCCACTTAAAAAATTGAGAACACACCACTAAATTTTCCAGATTGGTGAATACTGCAAAAATGCTCATACGTAAACTGGAAAAAAAATTAATTGTAAATAAACTATAAACAATAAAAGTTCACTTTTACTGCACTGCAGTTTATTTTTACCTGAATCTAACTAATTGAAAAATATNTATATATATATATATATAACTTGGAGAACAAATTGCTTTCATGAAGCCGCAACCGTGAGATATGCGTTTATTTTTGTAACAACCTCGTGTGACCATATATATTTGAGAAAAACGGCATCATCGGGTAATGAAAAAGTGTAGCCAATAAGATGAACAAGTTACGGGGAAATGCATCATCGGCATCGGTGACCAGTTGCAGTCGAAGCATCCCCGTGTCAACCGCACTCGGCCCCGACTGTCGTGGTCATCGTCGCTGTAACCATCAGGAGCAGCTCGACAGCGGCTCGGAGAGCGCTCCTCTGCTATCCTCGAGTTGTTCCCAGCTCAAAGACATGCTGCTGTTTCACCGGGGCGACTCCGAGACCAGCGACTTTGATTCAAGCTTGGCCGGCAGCTCCTCCAGGTATTGTTACAATATATTTTTTCTCCTATTTTATGCACCGTTATTGTTTATTCTTATTTATCTTCGATGTTACTCGTTTCGGAGAATCTATATAGATTGCTTTTACGTACTGATAAATAAAAAAACAATCACGATGATGATAATATATCTTATCCTTACAGGGTCAATAGAACGATGAAAAGTCGTGGAAGGAGCATTTATAATTCGATACAAAATATCTTACTGCCAAAACGCTTGTTGTCTTCTCCCCCTTTGGGTCGTGACAGAGGGGTCCTGCTGGCGACGGCCCATGCCTCGTTGCCCAATAATCTCCTGCAGCGCGACAACTGCTACGAAATTTTGGTACTAAAACTAATAATACAATACCATTATGTACATCGTTAATTATTATATTGATTCGACTACACGATATTTTCTATGTGTGTCATGCGTGTTGTCAAAGCTCTACGAGGACGATGTTCTTGGTGCTAATGATTCTTGGGATGAGAAAAATAACGCGTTGGATGGTATCTTTGCGGCATCCGGTCTACCGGTCAAAATCAACGCAGACAACCACGCGATAAAAGACGTCGAGCCGAAACAAAGTTCACTAGTTACGATGTAAGTTTTGTTGCTTTTATATTTTTTATTTCTATCAATTGGTAACACTTCGAATCACAAAGTTGCGCGTGTTGCGATTTCCATTTGTCCCCGAAAAACATTAAGAAGAACAACTTTTTTTTTTTATCACCCCAATACTGTTGAAAAGAAAATAAAAATAATCTTACACGCGACAAAATGTATAGAAAGTTTTTGTTTGTCATCATGTTTACTATACACTATACGTTGATCATTTTCTGCTTTTCGAGATACTGTATTTGTAACTTATATAGTTTTGGCGCTACGTGCAATCTAATTTAATAGTAATGACGAGATATTCCATGCATTATATACGGTATATTTGAAGAAATGCATATTTCATCATGCATGCATCAGCTCTTTCTGGAAATGCCAAATAATTATCACTTAAACCGATTCAAATTTACTTCAGAACCATGTTTTTGTATAGAAATTTTTTTTTTTTTTTTTTTTTCAAACATCTCACTAATGATTGCTTATTTCACTAACTTATTAAATTTAAATGAACGATTTATTTTCACAGTTTTTCCGTGTGGAATACGATCCTAGGCTCGTCTTTGCTGACCATGCCATGGGGCATTTACTTGGCTGGTTTCATCCCCGCCGTAATCCTCATTCTCGCGATGAGCGGCTTGTGCCTATTCACAGCTCATAAATTACTACAAGTGCGCAAATATTACGGTAAAAATTACTGCTTAAAGCGTCAAGTTAATGAGATATGAAAACTGTTGTAATAACAACACATAGTTGCGTGAATGATGTTGATGGGATACTCTATTAACCCAGATAGATAAATTCAATGAAAATACACGAGAACTTCGACAAAACTAACGCATGTTAGAAAATAGCCGATAAGTTTAAGATTCGAAACGCGTGATTCTTTTAAATTACGCCCAAGTTTTATTTTCTTTTGCTAGTCGATCAACCATTCATCTACTGCACGTACACGAATGAAAGAGCTTTCTTGTGAGAAATTTATATTTACCAGTGTTATAAAAAATCACAAGCTTAACAATCGTGTACGCCAATGTAAAAGAGATGAACCTCGAAATCGATCATTTGATTAATGAAGCGTGCAAAATGTTTTTTTTTTTTTTTTCCGATTTCACGCTAACTCGATAAATCTCGAAAAAACAATACGAGTGACAAAACTTTGGTACGAAATCGTTCAAGTACGTTGTTTTTGATGGTCGAGACGTGAGATAACTGCAGATAATTGAAGCTTTCGTGAAATCACCCGTATATACCGAGCTGTTAGTTGGAAATTTTTCAATGACGTTTCTCATCTCGCGTTACAAATTATGCAATAGCGCTACATCGATCGACACACAATATTTAATACAGAGGAGAGAAAAATACATATTTTCCTATGCATCCGCTGAATTGTTTATCTATTATTGAAGTCACCCGATACATGAAACTACACGCATATACTTATGTATACATCTCACTTCCAAGACCTCATTCCCAACATTCATGTTGTTGCTTCTGTATTATATACGTTTAATAAAAATTGAGTTTTTCATTTAAAAATCCCTGTAAAATGCAAAAAGCGCCAAATCATATTAATAATTTTTTTACAGTTTTTATGCCATTATTCCAGGTGGGGTGGATAAAATCGAAGTTATGGAACTCAGTCGAGTTTACCTCGGCTCGTGGGCCGAGCGTACCGCCAAAATCTTCAGCATCAGCGTACTCTTGGGTGCTAACATAGCTTACTGGATTTTGATGTCCAATTTTTTGTATAATTCCGTAAACTTTTTTTACGGTAAATCTTCTACCTGCCCCTACTATTATTATTACTATTCACTTGTCTCGAATGACGTATATAATATATATAATATATTCTTGAATTGTGCAGATATTTTCTCCGATGCGCCGTTACTGTTCAGTCCCAACAATAATAGTACTAACAACGACAATTTTAGTAATAAAACCAATGGAAACGGTACGTATAATATATATATATATATATACACGTGTTCNTATATATATATCAGTGAAAGGAATTAAAAATATCAGAGTTTAACAATAACATGATTGTATCGATCGACAGTACTTTGTCCCAGGGAGGAAAATTTCAACAAAACTATGAACTACGAGAAATCGCACGATAGTCTGGGACCGATGTGGGATCTGTACAAAACAGTTCCGATAATCCTCGCTTTTCTGGTGTTTCCTCTGCTAAACTTCAACACGACGACTTTTTTTACGAAATTCAATTCCCTGGGTGAGTAAGAAGAGATAGAGAAGAACGTGGCGCGAGAATTAAAACCGTTTAAATAAACCTGGGGATGGTTGCAGGAACGGTGTCAATCGTGTACTTGATGATATTTGTGCTGTCCAAGTGTGTCTCCTGGGGAATCAATATGGATAAGTCCGCGTGGGAAGACAGTTGGATCCTCCGTTCGACGTTTCCGGTTCTGTCGGGCATGCTGTCTTTGGCATTTTTCATTCACAACATCATCATAACAATCATGCAGAGCAATCGTAATCAGACAAAAAACGTAAGCCAATAAGGATTAATCGGCGATACCACCATTGATGCGAATTATTTCTATGTTTCAGGGTCGCGATTTGAGTATCGCTTATCTTCTCGTCACTGTCACTTACATCATTGTCGGAATAACTTTTTTCGTTTGCTTTCCACTCCCAAAATCATGCATCGAGGACGTAAGTCGCTTCCTATTCTCTCACGTAATATCAATTCAACTAAACAGTAATTTGATACCTTTAATACTTAATATATTCATTCATTTCAGAACTTGTTGAATAATTTTCAAAAAAATGATGGGGTCACTGTAGGAGCACGAGTCGTTCTTCTGTTTCAATCGTTCACGGTGTATCCACTTTTAGCTTACATGCTGAGAATTCAATTATTATCATCAGTTCTGAAAACCAGAGAGTGTCGTACTTCTTACGTCTTGTTTGTTAATTTCGTCATAGTTGCAATTTGCGTTTTATTTGCCATATTTTTGCCTCACGTGGGAACCATACTAAGGTATACTGGAGCTATAAGTGGGTTGATTTATGTTTTTACTTTACCTAGTTTACTACATTTGATGATTACACGTATACAAGGGAAAATTAATACATTTAACGTTTTTTGCTACCTGTGTGTGCCAATTATCGGAATACTCAATCTCATAAGTCAATTCTTTATCAGCACCACATAAAACGGAACTATCGAACTACAAAGTTAATAACTTTTAAAACTGTTAAACATGTTGATAGTGGTTTTGTAATTTTATATATTTTTTGTACATATACACACAGTATAGATAGGGTTTTACATATTGTAATAAAATTTCACTGTCAAGTATTATTCACTTTATTACAGGATAAAGAAAAATAAATAATTTACTGACAGTGTATATTTATTATCATAATTACTGTCATTATCAATAGAATTTATTTTACTATAATAGTATAGGTTGTATAAATAATTTGAATGAATGTACAAAATAAAATTATATATACGAGTTGGTCTACTTCAAAGGAGTTTCGTACACCCAAACGGCATCGACACCTTCGCCAATAATAACAATTGGTTTATAATTTGGAAGGGGGAATCGGCAAACCACTATTGAACAATTGGGCTTCAACTCTGACTTGAATTTTTCTTGAAGCTCGTCCATCTTAAATCAGAAAAATGTTGTTTTCATAACTAAACTATTTAAAATTTTTATAAAATCTGTTTTAACATGGTCCTCAATTACCATTTCTTCAACCCCAAAAATGACAACATTATCATACTTATTTAAGTTGAATTTCCACAAATTTTTCTTAAAAAAATACGTCTTTGATGATAAACCTTGAGCAAGTGCAAAAATTCTGGAATAATAGACTAGCCATCGGTTAAGCTCTACTCCGTGTGCTTGAAATCCGGCCTTAGCAGCAGCGACAACCTTAAAAACGTATGATTTATTCATATGTTACAAATTCAAACTGATAATCACAGCAAAAATTTGTTAAATCTCACTATGCGACCATCACCACTTCCTATGTCAATAAGTGAGCCAGAACGTCCCTTTAAAGCTTGCAAGATATTTTTAACTTGTTCAGTTGTGGCAGGAACATAGGGTAAGCATATCCTTCTGAACCCTGGGGCGACAAACGGAATACAAACAGCAGTAATAGCCAATCCAATTCCTCCTGTTATAGTAATTTGTAAATAATTTCTCGTTTAGACTTTAAATGAAAAACACTCACAACACAACCTGTGATTCCCGCAAGAACAAGTGCAGTAGTTTTTGACGTTGCTTCTTTTCCTACGCTTATAGATTGCATTAACTCTTGTTCCATCATGTAAATTCGTAGGAAATTCTCATCATTTATTTAAGTATTCCTTGCAATGAACAAGCGAGGTTATAGTGTCACATTTGCTACTTGCAGTGAGTTAAAAAGCAGTTATAAAAAGTAAATAAAGTCGAGAAAACAAGCAGACGGCTTAAAATTATTATAAGCCATATATAAGATAAGTAGAATATTTATGGTTTTGGAGGGGTGCGTTCCGTAAACTCCAGCAGTTAATCTTCAAGTATCTCGGTATCCTAGATGACATTTGAGTGCATTAAGGGGAAAAGTATTGCGTGTTATCTCTCTCACACTAATAAGTTATCTACACATTATCTAAATACTTAGATTAAACGGCCAGTGCTTACGGAACGCATTCGAGGTCGGTTTAGGATAAAATAATAGGTTTTTAACTTGCCGCAAATAGCAAAAATGTGTCATCTTTCTATTTTCTATCTATAAAATTAGTTGCGGCTGGTTTATAATTAATCACATGGCTCTACTGTAAGTATTTACATAAATAATGATAATTCGGATCAGCGCCATCTAGCGTTGCGGATTTTTGAACTAAAAAGTGGCCCTAAACTTTTGATACAGAGCAATTAAGCTCAGAGCTATTTAATCAATTATAAACCAGCCGCAACTCATGATGAAGCTATAAAATGAAAAAATAATAATACATGTGTTTTTAGCGGCGAGTTAACAATCTATCTTATGCTTAAAAATTTATCTTTAAAAGTATANTATACTTTTGAAGATAAATTTTAAAGCAAAAGATAGATTGTTAACTTGCCGCCAAAAACACATGTATTATTATTTTTTTTATTTTATAGCTTTATCATAAGTTGCGGCTGGTTTATAATTGACTAAATAGCTCTGAGCTGAATTGCTCTGTATCAAAAGTTTAAGGCCACTTTTTAGTTCAGAAATCCGCAACGCTAGATGGCGCTGATCCAAATAATTATTACTATACTTATAGTAGAGCCATTTAATCAATTATAAACCAGCCGCAACTAATCTGATAGATACATAATATAAAGTTGACATTTTATGTGCTATTTGCGGCAAGTTTATAATATGTATTTTACCCCAAAACCGACCTCCAAAACTATAAATATTCTACTTCTTATCATATATCATCTTATATGGCTTATAAAATCGACCATATTTACAAAATTACAATACTTTAGACCTTTTACCATTAACTCATGGAAGCACAAATCAATCAGTCGAAAAGAGACAACCGAAGAAAAAAGGTCTAAAAAAGAGGCACAGTCACACGAAGAGTCTCCTTAAGAATGGAGCATTGGATCTCACTAAATAAAAAATACATTTATTACAGAGAAGTAAATTTTAAGTATTATAAATAAACAAAGAACCCAACCTTCTCTGATTAAGTGAGATCCAATGCTCTATTCCTAGGGGACTCTTCGTGTGACTGCTTCTTTTTTAAGCCTTTTTTCTTTAGTCGTCTCTTTTAAACTGATTAATTTACGTATGTATTTGATCATTATTCAAGATTTCTGTAACACAAATTTTGCTATGTACGTGTTACATAAGTTAACTGTTTATTGAAACTCTAAAGTTAAAGGGCTGTGCTTCCATGAGTTAATGGTAAAAGGTCAAGTAGTGTAATTTTTTATATATGGTCGATTTTATTGACGGCTTAAGCTTTGGTAGTGCCGCCGCCGCTTTTTCTTGTTACCAGTGCCATCTAGCTTTGTGATTTTCGGAATCTATATTTCTAGGGGAAATCATCTTGAGAAGAAACCCTAGATTTTAGTGTTATATATTCGGCATAGAGTCTTTGCCGGAAAGAAATCACTGCACAATCGTGCTGTCATGACACTGAGTGTTATGTATGTGCAGAAATACGGGCCCTGCAGTATCGACGCTGAACTTACCGACGCTGTAAACCTTTGTTCCTCCAATGTGCCGAAAAGATACCTTTGACGGGTAAGTAAGGGTAAATGAGTTAACCGTCGGTATGGCAGGGCCCATACCTCTGGATCAGTACCGACAGTACGATTCCTCTGTATAGTGATTTCCTTTCAGCAGAAGACCCTAGTTTAAATGTATAGTACTAAAATCTAGGGATTTTTTCTTAAAATGATTTCCCCTAGATAAATAGATTCCGAAAATCACAACGCTAGATGGCGTTAACAACAAGAAACGATAGCCGCCGCCGTAAGCCGCCGTACCGTACTACTGCCACTACTGCCAGCGGGAGTGGTATTCTGGTATTCCGTAACTAGTTTGCTGTACATTAGCCTATATAGTTAGAATCCATCTCCATCGGGATCTTGAGAGCCATACCATACCGAGCTTCGAGTCTTTTGTTGTATATATTGTAATTGTTCTGCAGTCTTGTTACTTCCACAGTTCTCAAACTCATTAGCTAACGTTTTGTTATTGCAACGACACGGCAGAGCGGCCTAAGAATTTTTTCATCTTATTTTTTTCAACAAAAAATCTCTAATCTGCATCGAACTTGACTTTAACAGCCATGAACACAGCCACGAATACATTGGCTAACAACAATGGAATAGTTTATTTGATGAATTCGACCTGGAGAATGTGCAATAGACAATAATCAGTGATGTGAATAGAGCTATACACCACGGATTGAAACAACTAAGTATTTTTGCGAAAGTTTTGCAAGCAGTTTGGCGTATTTTACTTTGCTGGACTAACGTTCGCTTATCAACAAACTACAACAATGTTACATTTACCTCTACAAATATAGTTTGATCAAATCGTCAACTATACTTTTAGTAACTAATATATACATACATGTTGTGACATACTTATTACTAATCTATATCACATGTACTGCTGCATCTTATATTATTATAGTATTACCAGTTTTCTGTCAAAACTGTCATCACGTATGCACATTATATAAATTAAAATCTCTTGCATCAGCTGTTTCTCTGTCTTCTCTTGTCTACTTTTGCATTTCAACAATGGACAACATAAGTGAATTTGACATTAAACTTGAAAAAGAAATCTATTATGCGGGTGAAGTTATTCATGGTCATGTTATTTTGCATACAACTGAAAACTTCAAATTGAGATGTATGTAAATTTAAAAGCACGCAATTTACAATAACTTTTATATATGTTCAGTGTATAATTTTTTTTTTTATTGTTTTCTGTTAATACATTTCCATATCCTATTCTGCAATCACCAAAATTTTATGTTATAAAGTATTTTATCAAATTTTATTACTGTTACTTTTGCATTGTTATTTTTAAGTTAATTTTTATCATTTAGGCTCATTAATTATAAATTCAATGTTATTGTTATTTATTTGTACGTAAGCATGCAAATAATCATGTAGAAACTGTGATGAATGTTTAATAAATTCTAGTTTTGTTTTGAATTTATTTGTTTCTTCTTTCCTTTTTTTTCATTCCAAAAAAATTTTGAAACTAAATCATTTACCTAAACACATAATGTAATACAAATACATCACAATATATGTGTGCTAAACAAATGTAGATACTCAATGGTACTTTATACAATTCTATAAATTTACATGCTTTTGAATAAACTGGGACCACATAAACATGAAAAAAAACAGCCATGAGATTGTCGTTGCGTGGCCAAGCACACGCGGAATGGAAAATTTCGGTCAGCGGCGACAGAAGAAGCGTCAAGGATGACCAATACTTTGTTGACGAGCGCATCGTGGTATGGGGTCATGGTAATTAATCGATCAACAAAATAAACCAAATGCATTATTAATTTGCAATGCTGATGAATTTCTCTGATTTTAGATTCCCCAGAAGGGCCTATTCCAATACTGCCGCGTGGAAAACATAAATTTCCATTTACTTTCAATTTGCCGGAAAGCGCATTGCCGTACAGCTTCGAGTCTCGAACCGGCTATATTCGCTATTATGTCAAAGCAACAGTCGACAGACCGTATGCCAGTCCTCCTCAAGGCTTAAAGTACTTCACTCTGATTGGTCCTCACATTGATTGTATGGACGAACATTATTTGGTAAAATTATTTAATGCGTATATTATCAAAGCAGTAAAAAAAAAAAAAAAAAGGTACAAATACAATGGCAATAATGTCTTAGAAACCCACAATTGGTACGGAAATACAGTCATCCTGCTTCTGCTGCAGAAGGAATCCAGTCGAGTTGAGCGCCCAGTTGGAAAGAAGCGCGTACGTCTGCGGCGAAAGTATAAAATTACGCGCTTCCATCGACAATAGAGGCATCGAAAAAGCATGGTTACACGTCGCGCTAACTCAAGTACTAAATAACTACCTACCGATTGTTCTGTTTCTTTAAAATAAATTATTTCATCATTGTCGAAACATATGGTAATTAATGAATTGTGACGTTTAGCACGTTGAATTCTTCATTGAGCGTGGTGTGCTTGGAGCAAGCAAGGAAATTCAAAAAGTCGTTATGGAATACAAAGGAGAGCCAGTGGTTCCTGGCACAGCTGTCCAATGGGACTCTTCGAGAAAGATGATTCTTCCCATCTGTCCACCTTCTTTACTTGGCGTTTGCCGTTTAATCCGAATTTATTATGTCTTGAAGGTGCACATTTGCCTATTTTATTTTACTTAAAACTCCACTTATTTATACCAATTCATTCTGTTGTTTATGTGATTATAAATATAACATACACATTCATGATGATTGTTTAGGTGAGTGTTCAATTGGAAAAATCGGGAGAAGATATGCAAATGTATTTTCCCATAACAGTAGCAACCGTTCCCTTTCGAATACCGAATCTCCCTCATCCAAAAATCAAGTATGGTTAGTCATCAATTCATTTTTTTTCTTTGTTATCAGTTTATAGATAGCTTGAAAAAGATATTGTATTGGTTTTTCAGAAATGGCAGTAGACCATGTAGAAGGTGGCTGTTATGTTGGACCTGAATTTCTTTTAGGTCAAGTATATGATGGTACTGATCATCTAACATCTCAAACACCGCTAGTTCTTTACAGACCAGTCTATGTTTGCATAGCTAGTGAAAAAAAATTACAAAATCAGTAAAACTCAAGTAAAACATCGATTTCCTACATTAAACTTTTTAATCTTGCAATACTTTTAATAAAAACTGTTATATTTACTTGTAGATTTTGTTGTGCACAATTAGTATGAAGGTAAAATGTATACATATAAGCCCTACCGACAATTAAAATTCTTGATGAAGTTTGTGTAAGACAATGTTATTAATTGTTAAAACCTTTTGTATGTAAACTTGTTGATGATATAAATTTCTTATAAAAATAGAAATTTGTGCTTCATTAATTTCCTATAAACCTTTAGCTTGTGAATACAAAATTGACATGGATTTCATGGATACTAAAAAATCTAATTTTCATAAAGTAGAAAACATTTTTATTTTTATATCTATATATATAATATATACATGAACTATGATGAACATCAAAGTGGACATAGGAGATACTAATTATATCATTAAAATACATTTCCAATTTACTTGATTAATATCAAAGAGATAAATAAAATTGTTAAAGAAATTTTGTGCGTAAATAAGTATCGGCACTACAGATTAAACATAGACAATAAGAATTTTTGAGAAAAGAATAAATTGTTTTCAAAGCTTGAACCTTAATTAATTTGAATACTTTGTAGTCAATTCATTGATAAACATAGAATTTATAAATTAAATTTTTAATGACTATGATATAGCGTAAGTGGCAATAATAAAGTCTAACAAACGAGAAATTATTATCACAAATCCAAGCCACATTTGCTAGGAATACATTCATTTGCAAACAGATGAGAAATGAACATAGGTAATGAAAAGAACTTTGTAATCATTTAAATAATAAGGAAAAAAATTAATTACATCACTTCCATACTGTTCTGCGTGTTTTCCGTAAAAGCTGAAGGAACATCTTGCGTACTTTCTTCCACAGTAGACTGTGCCTCTATACCTTCAGTAATATTGGTTCCTAACGAGTTTGACCCATCATCCCAGTTAATTTTGAATCTAGTGACACGCGGCTTGTCAGCCAAAATGTTTCTTATCACTTTATCAAATTGGGGCTGTGGAGGTGGATTTTCTCTCAATTCTTGTTCACTGTACTCGTTGTTGATGAAATATCCAACTCTCACAAATTCTTGCTTACGATATGAACAAGTCAATAAAACTACAGTGACACCGAGAGCGTCATTTACAGGAATTCTACTCGTGTCCGGTGGATCAGCCTACAATTCAATTTAAAATAAAAAATTTAAATAACTTTTAATAATCAAGTTTTTTCGACTATCCAAAAATTTTTTACGTATAGTCTAAGAAAATAATTTGAATTGTGTAACAAACAGATAACGGTGCCCAAGAAACTGATATTTGTTGTGTAAAGCAAATATTGTGACAGTATTTACTTACTTGGAACACAAACATGTGCCTTCCTTCAGGAATAGGACCAACGTAGATTGTATCAAGAATTTGATCAAACTCTTCTGATTCGGCACATCCAACGTAAATCATTTTCCATTCGAGGTCTGCAAATGTATAAAACCAACACAAGTGAATAAGGTTTCATAGTACAAGGTCTTAATAGCATATAGATATAATTAGTAACATCTCGGCGCTTGATATCATAAAGCTGATAAATACATGACGGAAGAAGTATATATGTATGTATATACATATAAAAACAAAGAGTTGAGGTTAGGAGATATCATGTAAACGGAACGCGCGCGAGAAAAATTTGTGCAGCCGTTGTAAAATGTCGCTGAAAAAGCACAATAACCAGGGCCTACCTTCTTTTAACTCCTCGATGCACTCGAACGTGATCTCAAACTGTATTGGATTACAGAATTGCGAGGGGTTGTCGAGCACCGTAACGTTTGCAACTTGTACCTTGGCCATTGTGGAAGTTCAAAATCCAAGGGGAAGACGGGATAAGGTGCACTGCCTTAAGGCTGGGCTCTCTGACTGATACTGAAAACTACCCACCTATATGAATGTAATATAGCGTCGCCGGTTTGCTTGGACACGTATGTAAAGTGTATATACGTATTCTTAGTAAACTGTTTTGAGCAAAAAGTGCTGCTCGGCCGCTGCGCTGCTGCCACTTCACACTACCTGGACTGAGTTCTGTTAACGGGCTGCAGGAAGTGACGAGCTCTTTGCTGGTTGTCACTATGTCACTAGGTTATACCGTGAGCTAATTACTTATTTGATGATTTTTTGAGGTACAACCTACAAGAATGTCGGCACACAACCACGAAGTGCACCAGTGTCTGGTTAATTATTCTCGTGCCTGTTGTACTAGATTAGGTAACTCAACAACTGATTTTATCAACGAACAAACTGCACTAAAATTCTCAAGTACAACTTACAACGTTTAATAATTAAATTTACTATCTCACCTCGAACAAAATAATGTCTAGTTTCTCGGAGAGAAGAAATATATAGTGGCTCGAGTCGAGTATGCTTTTGGCGCGTTATTGTTGCCGTTCAGTGCTGCCAATCTCGACACATCACTCACATCACCAATCACGAATCACCACAATTGGAGTCTGCGCACTGATAAACTGTTTAATTTATTTTTAAATACTTCGTTGGGAATAAAAACAATTGATAATCATAAGTAACAAAATGTTTTTCAATTATACAAAAGTAAGTAGGTGGTATACTTTGTAAAATAAACTATTTGCATTTTGCAAGTTTCTATGACACGACAACGACGACATTTGACGTTTTACTGAAAATCGAATCATTTTCGCGCCCATTTCCTCTACTCTCTTTTCTGCCACCGACACTGCTTTTAACGCGCTCTTTTTTTTGGATGCGCTAAGAAAAAACTATATAAATATACTCTCTACTTATACTTTAAAAACGAGTTCGTGCACGAATTTTCATGCAAATTTTTGTGGGTACAGTTAATTTTTCTCTTTCTTTTTTTTATACTTATTCATTATTTTTATTCGATTCACATCGTTTAAACTTATCGTAATATGCTGCAGTATGATCATTTGTTGTAGGCAATATTATATTTAAACCATTATTTTCCGACCATATGGCTCTATCAGTAAAATTTCTGGGCTAGATGAGTACGCAAACATACAAATGTAACACCTGAGAATCCTGAGATCAAGAAGCTATTGTTGAAGTTGTCACCATGGTGATAATCAAACGCGTTCGGGGCACGAATCACCACATCGACAAAATAATTCGAGCATAAACATCAAGAGGTTCGTCTGATGTTTCAAAGTTAACATCTAAAATCGTGATTGGTTCTTGTAATAGACCTTGACTCTACCTGGTGCAGCAGCATCCAACCAACCATGTCTGACTCTGATTTGTCGGAAAGTGAAACTTCAAAAGAAACAACAAATACGCGCCAGGAGCTCGAAAATTCGAGCATGACCGACTCCTGGAAAGTCCAAAAAGATGATTTCTTCACACCAAAGCAGCAGAAACAAACGTGGATGAGGGGGGAAGATTACGACGACGACAACGATGACTTCAAAATCTTGGATCCGGATGATCCTTTGATGAACAGGTTTCAGGAGGCTCTCAAGTCACACCTCAAGCGCATTGATGAAAAACTTTCCGAAGAGATTTACGAACTCGTAAGGGCATATCGTTATCATTATTTTGAGGCCACCTCGAAACTTCATTCTTAGACATAAACTGATTTTCCAAATGATGAAACAAATTGATTCTGGGTGTCTCCGTTGCAGGGAATAGAAATTAAAGATGCAGAAAAAAAGCGAGAGGACGAGGCCGTCCGTCTGTACGAGCTCCAGAAGGAGACGAGTCGGCAAGAGTCGGCTGTCGACAATTACAAGGATATGCTGGCCGAGTTGGTGAATCTGCGAGCAGACATGGAATGCCGCCTGCAGAGCGCCAAAGAGGCACACCGAGTGACGAGCGAGCGGCTAAAAGCCAAAAAGCTCGTGGAAAAACAGCTCGGCCAAACGATCGAAAGCATAGAAGCGCTCCAACAGCAGTTTTCCAAGTGGGAGGACGAGCTGCGCAATAATTTGACGATATCGCAGAGGATATCGGAAAAGGACGACGCGCTCGAGCGCGAGCTCGTTCAGCGGAAACAGCAGAGGGACTACGTTCTCTTCAAGCTCGAGGACGAGGTCTGGCGCCTCCAGGCCGAGATCAAAGATATGGATGATCAGTTGCAGATCAAAGACGCCGAGAAGGCTTCCCTTAGGCAGACCATAGCTGATGTGAGCGCCGATTTAGATGGCCTCAAGAAGGAGCACAAAACGCTCTACAACGCGTGGAATGTCGTTCTTCATCTTATCAACAAGCAAGACCAGATACACGAAGAAGCGATGCTAGAGCATAGGTTGAAATTTATTGCAAAAGGTGTATATGTGATTATCGGATTGTTGATTGTAATATGGTTTACTCTGATGTTGCAGGAAAACTCGGGAGACTCTGGAACGTTTGGAAACTCAAATAACGAGGATTAAAAAAGATTCTGACAAAGAAATGGAAAACAACGAGCGTCTCACTTCTTTGCAATCGAGAATAAGTGAAGAAATCCTATCGATAAAAAAATCCAACGAAAGTGACAGAGATAAATATTTTAATTTGGAGATGAATTTTGTTAAAGTTTCCAAGCTTCTTGAACAGAGTGACAAGGAATTAGGTGCTGCTCTACTGGTACGAGTTACAATAAAACACTACAAATTAAATGTCTTGTAAACTAATGGAAATAAATCGATAAATACGTAACATTAATATGCATAATTTTCAGAATTACGAGTCCACTATCGAGGAAGAAAAGTATTTGAGAAAAGAGAGTATGAAATTTCAGAATGAAAGGCGTGCCTTGGAAGATGACATTTTTGCGAAATTGGATGATAAAATTACTCACGACAAAGTTATTAGACATTTAAACAAATTGTTACACGAAGCTAAGGACATTAATTTGGAAAATGAGTTGAATTTGACGCGTTTTGAAAATTCGTATGGAAAAAGTCTTTTGGAATTGGAAAAGTTTAATTCAATCCTGGAAAACGGAAAGTTCGATTTGGATGTCGTAACTCGAAAAAATACTGAAAAACAAGAAGAAATCGACACTCTGCAAGCTGAATCAAAAAATTTCGAATCGCTTTTCAAACAAAAAGAAAGAAAAATAGCTAGTCTTAGCAAAAAAATAGAAGAGGTAATTATTACTTTGTATTTTCTTTATTAAACGTTTCTCACAACGTGACCTCGAATCACCAACCAAACGATTGTATTTCAGATGTTGGAGTTGTTTAGTGGAAAAGAGGCAAATCCTATAGACGCCAAAATTGACGCAATGGAAAAAAACATTGGCGACACTGATAAGAAAATCAAAGAAGGGCAAAAGTTTTGGCTACGTGAACAGGGCAATATATTTTCCTTGAGCAAGCAGAGGGACAGTCAACTCCAAGAGCTTGGTATTATTGCTAGAGAAATCATTCTGATGGAGCAAAAGAATTTAAAGCTTGAAATTGAATTGGAACAACAAAAAAAAGAGGAAGCTGCTATTGAGAAAACTATGAATACACTGCAACAAAAATTAATTCAAATTAATATGCGACTTGCTTCCCAAAAACAATTCAAAAATAAATTGGAGGATCAAAACAGCACGGTTAAAAACGAGTACATAAAATCTTTGGAAGATGCAGAACTTGAGTTGATAAAATTCGAAGCAGATATAAGAAATTTAAATAATGATAAGTTTATTTTAAAGGAAACTTTGTTGTTTGCCCAACAAGAGAGTCTTTCTTGGGAGAAAAAGGTTGCTTTATAATTTTAACATTAATTTTTTTTTTTTATTTCGTACTTCAGCTAACATTTAAGTTGATATTGTCTGCCAAAGGTTCAACTGGCAAATGAAACTAACAAATCATACAAAGAAGAAAGAAATGCCGGTGGTGACATAGCTATGATGAAAAGTGAAATACACAAGATGGAAATGCGACTTTCTTATTTGCGCAAAGCACAAGAAAAATTAATTCAAGATATGGAATTTTGTGTATCGCGAAGAGACAATATTATTGATGAAGCAGTGGCACGGGAGAAGAAAAATCCGAAAAACCAACACAACCAAAGGATGGTACTAAGAAAAAGACTAGATGATCAGAAAACAAAAATAAAACAACTACTCAAGGTAAACTAATTTTTTTTACGTGAATGTATGTAATAAAATAAAAAAGAATGCTGTAGCTCAAAAAGCGCAATTTTAGGAAATTAAACAAATTGAAAAAAAAACCGAAATCGCATCAGATGAACAAAACAAGTTACTTGAATATTTAACTGAGGGTCAAAAGTTGTTGCGACAAAATGAAGATGTTATCCCAGACATTGAAAAACAAATAGCTGAAGCAGAACTCATTAAACACCACGTAAGTATTCAGTTTAATCAATTCTTATTCCCAACTAAAATTTTTCTCATTTGTAACTGCAGAATTTAGAAATATTGGTGAGAAAACAACGCAAAGTCAACATGCTTAGAGATTTAAAAAATGGCCATTATAAATCATTAATTAAAAACGAAGCAATTTTAAGCGAAGAAAGTCAGAATCAACAAAACATAAATAAACAGCTAAACGAAATAATGCAACGAACGGAACATGATTTTCCGTTATTGAAAAATCAAATTCGAAAAATATTATTGACATTAAAAAATTAGTCAACTTTTAAACAATAAATTAAAAAAAGTATAATATTAAAATTAAGTAATATTAGTTTTTATCTTACATAGCTTTATGTACAACTATTTTTACAATCAAAAAAATTTCAAGGCTAGTTCATAATCACAAATTATAAAAAATTAACACCCACTTCACACACTTTCTGCTGATTGTAATTCTAACCACCTGACAATATAATACGTTTTTTTCCCAGTTCGTAAAAGTGTCACATTATTTCGTAATATATGTACACTTGGTTCAATCATTAAGTCAGGATCTTTAATTCTTTCGTAATTTATGTAAAATCCACCTGCCCTTATTATTCTGTGGGCATCCTGTGCAGTTTTAAAACAATTTGCTTTCATGGCGATATCAAAAGCAGTTATTTCACCATCAAGGATCAAATTGACAACTTTTGCCCCCTCAAGTGCCATTACAACTTGGTCTTGGGTCATTTCTGATAGTGATTCCAAAGACTTGTCATACAACAATAATGATGCATTTTTGGCAGCCGTTAGTCCTTCTTCTGTAAAATAATAAAGAAATTTTCATTTTTAATGGACCATTTTTTTAAACAATCAATGTTGATCAACACTCATTACCTCCGTGAACTAGTAAAGTGACATTATCAGCTAATATTTCTTGAGCTTTACGATTATCCGGGTTTTTTTTGTGCACCTCCATTATTTGATTTATTTGATTGATTGGCAAGAAAGTAAATAGTTTCAAGTAACTCTCAACATCAGCATCTGTTGTTCTTATAAAAAATTGATACAAATCAAAGCTTGATGATTTCTTCGAAGACAACCAAATGGCATTTTCAAGAGACTTTCCGAATTTTTTTCCACCTTCAGCCGTTATCAGAGGCAACGTGAATGCATACACATCTTTCCTTGCCGCTCTACTAATGAGTTCGTGCCCAGCAGATATGTTGCCTAACTGATCACTTCCCCCAATTTGAAATTTACACTTGTACTGATTGAATAAATGTAGCCAGTCATAGGCTTGAAGCATTTGATAAGTAAACTCGGTAAAGCTCAAGCCAGTCTCTGAATTTAAACGGGATTTAACAGAACTCTTGCACAGCATTGTTCCCATTCTGAAGTACTTTCCAACATCCCTGACAAAGTCAATGACATTGAAATTTTTGTACCAGTCATTATTATCAACAATCATCACAGGTATCAAGGGTTCACTTTTTTGCCAAAAATACTTGGCATGGTTATCAAATATGTACTTGATATTTTTCTTGATGGCTCTTGCATTGCTCTCGAGTTGTTCTCTTGCGATGACGGCCCGTATGCTTGTGCGTTCGCTGGGATCTCCTATTAATCCAGTAGCACCCCCTACCAAAGCAATGACATTGTGACCACCCCTTTGCCAATGCAAGAGATTCATCAAGATTAACAAATTTCCAACGTGCAAGCTATCTGCTGTCGGGTCAAAACCTGCGTAGACACACTGGGAAGACTGATTAACGAGCGTTGTAATGACATTTCTAAAAATATTAGTTCAACATTATTCAAAATGAATCAAGAAATATCATTGACTGGTGTACTATCCATAAGAATCAGTGTAAGTCTTGTAGACCACACCAGTAACATTAAATTAATAATATAAACATTGACAATTACACGCTCGTGTTGGGAAATACCTCTTGGTACATTCCCCTCTCATGTAACTTGACAATATTCCTCGATTTATGTTTAGGCCCATCGGAGTAGAATAGTTTGGAGATTTTGTAATTTTGAGACACTATTTCACTCGTTCGTCGACGTAACCACAAAAGGCGAAACCCATGCATATCTTCGTTTTTACCTGTTTGTCCAGTGTGGGAGAAAAATACAGTATATTAAAATAATCTGAGTAATGAATTCAACTATTTGCAAACTAATGAGCCATGTGCACAATGATTGTAATGGTGAGACACTTGGAAGTTTGTTGTTATTTAACAGAAAAAATAATAAGCGAAGGTACTTACTGGATGTTATGAAATTATTTATACAGTAAAATAAAAGAAAACGACAGCTAAGAATCGTCAAAGACTCACATTACTTGATAACTACTCTAGGACTTGATAAGGAACTTCGCCTAACTATTTAGTTCCACATGTTAACATATATATTCCAACCGGGTGGTAAACTTTAGAAGCTATACAAGCTACAAGAGTCAAGAGTGGGCTCTGTGATAACAGCGCCATCCCATCCTTGTGATGAATATTTGAAGCTTTCGGAGTAAGCTCTAGATTTAAAGTTACTTATGTGCATGTTTATTGACAAGTAACTTTACTAGTACCAAGTGACTTTTGTTAATAATTATTTTGTGATGGACAATGTGCGGGGTCGGACACGTGCGCCTAATTTTCATCATTGTTTTTCACAAATTGTATGTATAATACGTTGGTTCATCAAATTTCATTACTTGGGATCATTTAACTGTACTTACCCAGAAAAATTAAAAAAAATTTTTTTTGTTCCTACAATTATAGTGGTTTTGCATCCACACTCGTTCAGGCTCTCGTCCTGCTCATAAGACTGAGGATCGCTTTAACTATGCCAATGCCAGGCTTTCAGTGATTTTTTGCACTTGAGGTAGTAAATCGTTGCTGTCGTTTAATATTTTTCTCGCTAAATGATTTTTTTCTTCTCTCTTTCTCGATCGATCGCCATCTCGAGTTTACGTAAAGGTAACGTCAATTTCGCCGTGGAGAGTATTTCCACGTAATTAATTTTAGCGACACAACGTTGCTTAAGAGTAAATAAATGATTATTTTTGTAGCGACCAACACTGGTAAATTTCTTTTACTTCGATTTTACCTAATTTAACATGTAAAATCGGCTAATTAACAATAAAATCACTATTGCATTACATTTGGTACAGTGTAAAAATATCCGAGGCATTATAATTGTAACCAAAAATGTAAATTAATTATGTATTTTTTCGTACTTTCAAACTAGTTTTTTTTTTTTTTTTTATGTATTTCATAAAATAATTTAGTATTTTTAAAGGTGTTTCCAAAAAATAAATCTTACAAATACGTGTACGTAAATTACTCATTAAAAAACGTTTTTCTGATGGAAAATACTTTTTTACTTGTAAATATGCTTCTAAGAAAAGTAATTTGATTATATACGTTGACCACGAAAGCTAAAAGAAAAAAAGCAAACAATTTGAATAATGAAAGTATAAGGAAGTGCCTTGTAGATGGAAAATCGACCGTTCGATTTCTGTTTGTATTTGCAAACTCAGTTGTTAATCATTGGTCGGTTATTCGAAACTGCATAATAAATCAACACGTTAGAAGGAAAAGTTCACAGATGGACGTGCTTTTCTAAAACCTGCAATGCCAAAATGCACTTTGGAATCGTATTTCTTCAACTAAACCTTCAAACTTTCTCGCAGAGTAAGCCAATGATACTTTTTGTCTCTTTTTCTCTTTGAGTACTGCAAACCGAAATTCTCTTAAATTGCTATACTTTGTGCCAAACATTTTTTTTCCCTTCCTTCATCTAAATTCTTCCTCACTTGTTCTCGAGTAATCATTGCACACTTCACTCCAACAGTTGGCAATTTGGAAATACTATTCTTCTTTACAATATCTTATGCGTATACAACTGACCGATAATATCAGCAAAATAGATAATCCGTCTTTGACGCACTTGGCGAAGGTAGCGTATCCGCGTTAATTACTTCCTCGTGCACGCGGTGCGGTAAAAAAAAAAAAAAAAAAAAAAAAAAAAGAAAAGTCGGACTGCGTAGTTTCACGTCAAACTTTGGCGCTTTACGCACTGGATAACCCGATGATACATCTACTTTTATCACGACAGATACCTCATGGATGCTGATTGAAAAAACAAGCACTGCACGTGTACCCATTAACAACTTTTTACGATCCTAATGAAATTTTTTACAACAATTCGCATCCATAGGTATCCCCATTTTTTTTTTTTTTTTTTTTTTTTTTTTTTTTTTCATGAAAATACAATTAAAGGCCGAAGCGATAAGCCGCACTTGGACTTGACAAATTTTGCGCTGCTATTATTATGTATATGATAAGTGTATTTTTTTTTGTTCTTTTTTTAAATTTTTGTTCTTTTTATCTCGATACCGCACTTTTACTCCGAAAAGATCGAGTTAACATTATTTGTCGCGTATACCTGAGCTTATTATCCTCGTAAAAAGAGTAAGTACTTCTTCGTCTGCAACGTCTGACCAGACACGGTCGTTATCTACTGAAGCGCGCGTACACTGTTACGAAATATTTGTTGCATATTTTAATCATCGCACAGCGAGCGTTCGTGTGTTATATCATGTGCTTCTCAACTTCGTAACGGTTGAAAAGGAAAAAAAAATTGTTTGGACGTTCGTCTCATCGCAAGGAAGGTTCGAAAACAAAAAGTGTCGGTACATTGTTAACTAATTTTGTATCTTGGGATCCCAAGGGCCGATCAGCATCGTCGATGGAGCATCAAGCTCCTCGAAGAATCGCAGTGTAACTTTTTCATCTCAACTTTTCCACCATCGAAAATTCATCGAATGAATATGCATTGTTAAAAAAAAAAAATAATAATTAAATATACAAATTTATTTCCAACGACACACAGATGTAAGTTTCAGATCAGTCAAACTGTACAACAATATAGGTGCCAGTATACAGTTTTTCCCTTTCGAACGAAATGATGTAAAAAAGTTTTACAAAAGCCAAACCATTGATTTTCAAAACAAAACACACATTTGTTTGCGCACGAATTCTTTGTATGCGTAGAATTGATTTCCTCCGACAAGGGAAGCTACAGGACAAAATGGCACGATAAACCGAGAAAATGAATCGAAATAGCCATCAGTTATTGGTGTAATTGCACTGGACATGAATGTAAGTGCCGACATGAAAGGCCCTTGCGAGTGGCAAAGCCGGTGCGTTTCCACAGCCGGTGGTAAAATAAGTAACATTACCTGTACAAGAAATGTAAGATTAAAAAAAAAAAAAAAAAAAAAAAAANGTTTAATAATTTCTAAGCGGTATAATGAAAGGTGTGTATCTACGCATATTGCTGTATTCGCGAATATATACATGTATACCGGTGATCCGGCGATGTTATCACGTGTGCGCGAGTGTGTCGGCACTTTTTTTGTCTGCTGCTCTCCTCCCTCCCTCGTTTACTGCGCCCACAATCGATGGTTCCTCTTGCCGTCTGCTGCTATATTTTCTCCCTTTCTTTTATTTTTACATACATAGCAGTCGTTTTATTGTTTTTCATTTTTTTTTTTTTTTTGTTGCGCTTCGGATCTTATCTGTCTTTCTTTCTTTACCTCCTTTTTCCGCGTCTCGTGAATCACATGCACATCGGAACGAGATGATGGCGTCGAGTGTACATAGTATGTGTACCCACGCGTGGACGGTTGTACATGAATTGAAAAGAAAAAAAAAAGGTTATTGAGGAATAAAAGCGCGAGCTGGAACATATCAGCGATACTTTGAGCTAAAAGATCCTCACCTCCTCCATCTCTCTCTTTCTCTTTTTCTTTTTTCAGTGCAATGGTACAACAGCACCCACAAGACACCCACCGTTCGATGGACGAGACGGATGAATGCTACGAGAGTCGAGCCGTCAGGATTTTCATTTTTTTGTTTGTTTATCGACTGACTCCAAAAAAAAAAAAAAAAAAAAAAAAAAAAAAAACAGGACATCGAGGATTACTTCGATTTTAAGGACATCGAGCCGTTTCGAGTGATCGTCGCGCGTCTAGCAGCAAAATATCAATAGGTACGTGCACGTATATCCAACATTGTATGCATCAAAATATAATTAGTTTGCAAACGAGTGTCCCTTGGCGAGCTGCAACGGCTTATTACTGCTTCGAGCCCAGTAAGCAGCAGTTATATATACGATTTCACCGCACGAACACCCCTAAAAATCCACTCCAATGGATAATCGTTACCCTTTCCTCGTGTTCTTTTTCTCGAGCCATTGTTTCGTCGAAAAGCCGGTCGCCCGCTCTCCTACACCGCGGCGATCAACATTCCCTTGTACCCCGGAAATCAAAGCCACACAATGATACCACTGTAACATATATCGGGATAAAATTTTCGCAGCATTGAAAATGTTTTTCCATTGGATTAAATTTCGTGTAAAAATCGGTAGCAACAAAAGAGCAAATGATAGGTATGGCTGTATACGCAAACACGTGCACAGAACGCCGTACCGAGAAATCGGCAACGATCGGCGGATCGCGTCAATAACCCTTGTACCTACCGATCTCTGCCACCGCACTCCGACGTATTAAACGACCACAACGACGTTGCAGTTGCGAAACGTCATACCTAGTTACAGCTTACAGCTGCAACGGAGAGATTACACAGTCAACCATATATACATGAGTGTCGTATTTTGTATACATGTATATAATATGTAACTCGAAATAAGAAAGTTTTTCGAAGGCGTGCAGGTGGCGCCGCGAGATCACGCGACACACGTGCGTACACAAACGGACACATATATACGAACCCGCACAAGTGGTGGCTGATGTTTTATTATATTATATATACAGTACAGTGGATAAGTATATTTATTTGTATAGTGCTCGCGCCGGCTTTTAGAAAGCCAAAACCAACCGATTGAGCCGATCTCCGATCTATATCACGTGTTATACACGCGCGCGCTATTTTACGCACACGCATACACACAGCTGTCGATGTAGCCGACGAGACTTGTACATTTCGCGTCGCGCGTCGCTCAGGTGTGTTGGTTAGTATACCTGCCCGTCCGTGTATTGACGCACTGCCTTCTTCTTTTTTTACCCTAAAAATTCGCGGAAGAACCAGAGTTGTATACTTCGCGGGAGATTCGGCTGATCGCGGGTGTCGTTGTCCACGAGACATACACGCGACACGCGTTACAATCACATGTGTATAGATTGCTGTAACAATAGACTGCGGATGCCCAACCGATCCGAGTACACCGGTGCATCGAAGAAAAAGAAGCGCGAAGCGTGCATCGTTGAAATTGCGTTACGGCGCTTGACGTTGCGCAAGACAACGGGCCTTATCTCTCGCGCGATTTACCTGCGCGTATAGCGCTCTTACACCACCTGACT